TGGTTAATTGCTGTACAAGATGAGGACTTGTGATCCTATTTACAAACACCATTAGAACAAATCATTCTATTCATTAAGAGAATGCAACTATATCAGACTGGTCTTGAACTCTCTTTGTAGCCCAGGCTGATCTCAAACTTACAGCAGTCTTCCTACCTCAACATGCCAAGTACTGGGACTACCGGTGTGCATCACCATGCCCAGTTAAAACATTGCTTCTTAAGGATTCTCCCCACCACTACCTTGCTGGGATGCTCAAGTGTATGTGAAACTTGAAATTTCCTGTCAAAAGTTTGTATGTACCTACACGCAGTTTAGTGAACACAGTGACTCCATAGCTTGCAAAAGATCTCAAGAGAGTATTCAGGGTTTAGTTCAGTTTGGTTTGTTCTAAGGAGGAGAGGTGTAGTTTGGCTCACAGTGGGTGTTCACTTCTATGCTTCATCAGATTTGATTCTCATGACACTCCCTCCCAAGCAGTGAATATTATTGGGATTTGGGGCTGATACCAAGATGGCCTTCAGGGAACTTATGTGTATGCTCAATTCGCTGTAAATGCCAGGTGAAGAGTGAAAAGTCATCCATTCCTAGCTAAGCATCTTGAGACCATATGCATATGAAATAAATGAGAAACACATGTGTAAATACCCCATTGTTTCTCTGATGTGAAAAACCAAACGTGTGAATAAGAACCAAAATGTATAATAGCTATTGGGAAATAGGCAGAAAATATTCAACTGAGGAGAGGGGAGAGGAAAAGGAAGGAAGGGAAAAGAAAAAATGAGAAAAGTAAAAAAATGGAAACAAAGTTTTTGTAAATGAGGGAAAAGGGTTGAAGTGAGGGGAGGAGAATGAGGGAAAAAAGAATCAAATTGTATCATGTACAGGTATAAATTCCCTGTGATATAGGTGATCATTATGTATACCTACAATGAACCAATAAATTTAAAGAAAGGACTCTCGGGGCTTGCCAGTTAGCTCAGTTGTTTAAAGGGTTTGCTTGGGCAAACTCAGTCAGGTCCAAGGGACTGTGGTTAGATCCCCAGCTCCACATACCACACCATACCCACCCTTAAAGCAGCCTGAGCCAGCCAAAAAAATAGCTAGAATATAACAAAACAAAAAGTAAAAAGTTACTTAAGAGATGATATTAAGTTTTGGTAATTCGGAGGGGAATTTATCCTAGGTCTTAAAATTGGAGAAAGATTTTTGTCACTAATTTATGTTCAGAACTGTTACATAACAAGCACTTAGCAAATGCCCACCATACTTCAGTTATTACTCGAGGTCCTAACCAGGCCAGAACTGCATTCTTTCAGAGAAATCAAGCACAGATATGTGATTGATCTACCACCTTAGATATTGAAGCTTCAGGGCAGTTTTGACTTGGAGTAGCTTAACAACACTTTGCACATAATAATGTTCAGTAAATATTGAATTAGATGAGAAAGAACTAGAAATCTGAAAGAATTTTTTTTTTTTTAAAGATTAGGGATTTTTTTTTTAATTTTTATTTATTTATTTTTACATTTTATTTATTGTGTGTGTGGCCAGTTCAGCCCACCTGTGGGCGGAGCTGGCTGGCATGTGGTGCTGGGGGATCGAACCGTGGTCCCTGTGCTTTGCCAAGCTTGTTCCAAGTAGGTGCTTTAGACCACTGAGCCATCTCTCCAGCCCCTGAAAGAATTTTTTTTTCTATATTTGGGACAGGGTCTACAGGGTCTCACTACATAGGACTTGTAGTGATTCTCCTGTTTTCAGTCTCCCAAGTGCTGGGATTACAGGCTTGTGCCACTACACCTGGTCTCAGTCTCCTTCTCAGCATGCCCCGTGGGCAGGGCCGGCCCAGCAGGCCGGGGATCAAACCATGCCGCTGCACTCTGCCTAAGCAGACACTTTAGTCCACTGAACTATCAGGCCAGCCCTCTGAAAGAATTTTTAATCAGCCATGGTTACAATTTTAACTCATAACCACGTTTAACTTAAGATTTTCCACCTTTACCTTCAAGTTTTGCAGGAAAATAAAAATTTGAAACCTGAGTTGCCTCTTAATTCCTGTGTGCTCAGAGGAAATTTAGCATGGACTGAAGAAGTGAACTTGAGTATATGTAGCTCATATTAAGCTATATTGAATACTGACTGCCCTGTAGACATTGAAACCATTGCTTTTGTCATTTCTAGGGGAGGTGACACCAGGACTATCTCAGGTGGAATATGCACTTCGCAGACACAAACTAATGTCTCTGATCCACAAAGAAGCCGACAGGCAGAGCGGGACAGACCAGACAGTGGTTGTGTGCTCCAACCCTACATACTACATGAGCAACGATATCCCCTACCCTTTCCACCAAGACAACAATTTCCTGTACCTGTGTGGATTCCAAGAACCTGATAGCGTTCTGGTCCTTCAGAGCCTCCCTGGCAAGCAGTTACCATCACACAAGGCCATACTTTTTGTGCCTCGAAGAGACCCCAGTCGGGAGCTTTGGGATGGTCCCCGATCTGGCACGGATGGAGCAGTGGCTCTAACTGGAGTGGATGAAGCCTATCCCCTGGAAGAATTCCAGCATCTGCTACCCAAAATGAGAGGTAATTCATGGGAGCACAAGGCAAACCACAGGCCAGGTTGGGCTTAAGACCTTCTTTCTCTGTAGTTTTTTGTCTCCAAAAATGATTGTCATAACAGCATTTCTTTTGACACCATGAGACATTAAGTTCTTTCCAGAAGGCTGAGCTGCTTTGAAGCGTTTATATGTCCATTACTAAGTCTTTATTAATGATTCATTAATAGACACTGCTAACCAGCTTAGTTTGAAATCTCAAAAGAGAATTTCCTTTTAAAGTAAATACTGGGCAAGGGCCTATGACTGCTGCTTCTTGTCCTAATTATTTTGCATACTTCAAAAAGAGGTACTGTTCTCAAAGAATGATCCATACACGAGCTGCATGAAGATCATCTGGGAGTGTATTTTAGAATTAGAAATGTGTAATAGATACTGGAAATGTAAATCTCAGGCCCCACCTCCTGGCTGCGGACTCAGAACGTGCATATTAACAAGTTTCGCAAGTGATTTCATAAACATAGTTGAGCTGATGCCCTCGAGATGATTGCTGTCCATTTATTCCACTGAAATTTTGGTCGCTTAAAATCTGTTAGAATTCTTCATGATTTATATCACATGATATCTTCAGTGATTATTGTAAGTCAGCTGTAAGCATTTTACTCTTTGAGGTATCCAGAAGTCACTTAGAACCAAATTTTGGAAGATAGATGATCAAGTTAAAAAAGAGTGATTTTAAATGATAATAATAGGGGCCAGCGAGACAGCTCAGCGGTCTAAAGCGCCTGCTTAGGCAAGCACAGGGACCACAGTTCAATCTCTGGCACCACATGCCATGCCTGCCACAACCCCAGGGCGCGCTGAGCAGACCACTAAATACATACAAGCATATTATATACATATATATATATATATATATATATACACATATATATGATAAAAGATGATTGTAAAGTTTTATGATTTTTTTATAGTTTATAAGTCATTTCTGAAGCCAGTTTCTAAAAGAAAATTCCAAATATGTTTCTGACAACCATAGACTACATTGGACTTGTTTTCTAAAAACAGTCTTTGTTTAAAAAAAAAAAAACTCACCTGACTATATAAGCTCTAAGATGTTTGATTAAATTATTTTGTTGCTTTATAGAAACATATACCACTTTACAGAGATAACTACCTATTTAACTCATTCAACTTTCTTAGGTCCTCAGAAAACATAAGTGGAATGTCTGTATGGTTAAATCTTCACATAAAATGTGTTTCTTGAAAATACTATTCCACGTTTTGTTTTGTTTTGTTTTGTTTTGTTTTGTTTTGTTTTGTTTTGTTTTGTTTTGTTTTGCAGACAGGGTCTTACCATGCAGTTTAAGCTGAACTTGAACTCACAATGTAGCCCAGGCTGGCCATGAACTCATGGCAACCTTTCTGCCTCTACTCCTCCAGTGCTGGGATTACAGGCATGTACCACCACATCTAGCCTTTATCCACCATTCTTAATATTGGCTGTTTACTAGATAAAATTACTAGACAAAGAAAAAGATTAATATAATAATGTGTATTTAAAAACTTAAAAACCTTAAAAAAAAATTGAGCTGTGATTTCAAACATTAGGGTGTTTTGTTTTGTTTTGTTTTTTGAAAAAGTCTCCCTGTGTTAGTTAGGCTGGCCTCGAACCCTCAGCGTTTCTGTCTCAGCCTCCTAAGTAAAAGCACAGGTATACCACCATACCAGACCTGAAGTTACTTAACCTTTAAAACATTAACTGGGCAAGGTGGCGCACACCTGTAATCCCAGCACTAGAAGGCTGAGGCAAGAGGATTGCTGTGCGTTTGAAACCAGCTTGGCCTAATGCGTTAAAGGCCAACCTGAAATACATAGTAAGATCCTGTCTCAGCTGTGGCAAACCAGTACCACACATTACTGTGTTTTTTCAGCCAGGGAGATGGCTCAGCAGAATAGGCAGTTGCCTGGCAAGCACAAGGGCCTGAGTTCAATCCCCGGTTCCACCAAAAAAAAAAAAAGGTCTCTAAGATGAACAATGTTAATGTAAGAGTTATTTCTTCTTAAAACCTCAGTATTCGTGTGTAATTTCAATGTTGGCACTTTGCAATAAATAGATTTTTGGGTTGCAGTTTGGGCACTAATTTCTAAAAGGTTCACCACCACTACTCTATCTCAAAAGAAAAAGGGAAAATATTATAATAGACTAGGGAGTGAAGTCAGTGGTAGAGTGCTTACCCAGCATGCATGTGGCCCTGTGCTCAGTCTTTAGCATTTGAGAGAGAGAGAGAGAGAGAGAGAGAGAGAGAGAGAGAGAGAGAGAGAGATTGAGATTGCAACAAGCCAGGATAGTGGTACATGCCTAAGAGCCCAGCACTCAAGAGAATCACAACTTCAAGGCCAGTCTGGGCAACTTAAGATCTTATCTGAAAAACAAACAAAATATTACAAGAAATGTCCATCTATTGTAAGTAGAATAAATATTCCCCATGCAGTATTTTTTGTTTGTTTGTTTGGAGACAGGGTTTCACCATGCAGTTCAGGCTGGGCGTGGACTCGCTGTACCTCAGGCGAGCCTTGAATTCAAGGTGATCCTGCTACTTCAGCCTTCTGAGCGCTGATATTACAGGCACGTGGTACCACGTTACACTGCGTTGTTGTTGTTTTGCTTTATATCTTTGGCACAGGGTCTTGCTACACAGCTTGCAGCTCAGACTCGTAGTGATCCTCTTTCAGCCTCCCCAGCACTGGGATTACAGACATGCACCACCACACCCAGTTTCAGTGACCGTCTCAGTGTGGGGCCAGCACAGTATGTAGTACTGGAGATCTAACCCAGACCTTTGCATTTGCCAGGCAGGCAAAATGAGCTCTCTCTCCCACCTCTTGTGACAGGGTCTTACTGTGTAGCTCAACCTGTCCTTGAACTCACTGGGAAGCCCAGACTGGCTTCAAATGCAGAATGATCCTCCTGCCTCAGCCTTGCAAGTGCTGGCATTACGAACATGTACCAAAATACCCAGCTCCCAAATTTTCAATCATAAAATAAAGCACTCTTCAGATTTCAGTTGTTATCAGTATATATATATAGTACAGGGTCTCACTACGTAGATCTGACTCATAGTGATTCTTCTGTTTTCAGCCTGCCCAGGGGATGGGGCCGGCATGGCACACTGGGGATTGAACTCCAGCTGTTGCACTCTGCCTAAGCAGGCACTTCATTCTACTGAGCTGTTTAGGAATATCATTATTATGCTACTGTCAAGAAAAAAATTATATATGAGGTGTTGAGCAAATCACTTTCATAATGAGACTTCATATTATAGCTCTCTGGCAAACACAATTTTCTTAGCTCTCTGGAGTTTAAGGTATAAGAAAAATTAGCAGATGCAAAGAGAAAGGTGCACATACTGTGAACTATTATATTTCTATAACAATGAATAGTTGTGGGCTGGTGAGATGGCTCAGTGGTCTAAAGCACCTACTTAGAACAAGCTTAGCAAAGCAAAAACAAAGGGACAAAGATTCAATCCCCAGCACCACATGCCAGCCAGCCCTGCCCCCTGGTGGGCTGAGCTGGCCACACACACACACACACACACACACACAAATAAATAAATTAAATTTAAAAAAAAAACAGTGAATAGTGGTACCAAAACAAAGATGGGATATTTAGCTCTAAGGTCATGCATAATCTGAGCACTTCTTTCTGTTTTCATTGTCTCTCAATCCATAGTGATGCTGGGTAAGTTAACAGTTAATAAAATCAAAACTTAAAGCTTTCCAGGCATGGTGGCAAATCCAGTGGCAGGACTTTGGGAGGCTGAGGCAGAAAGATTGCAGGTTCACAAATTCAAGCCTAGCCCAAACAGCTTAATGACTTGTTGAGACCTTGTCTCAAAATAAAAGTCTGTAAACAAATAAAGGCTGAGGGTGTAACTCAGTGAAGAGGCCCCGGTTTTGACCTCAAGTACTACAAAATCTAAAACAAATCTAAAGTTTTAGTTCCATCTATCAGCTTTCTGAAGAAATACTGATGTTTTCAAGCAGAAAAGCAATGTATTTAATCCCAGAATATCTTGCCACTTTTAGAAAATGCTCTTTACAGTGATTTATGATCGAACCCATCAATTGTTTCAGTCCTGAGATATTTAGCCCTCCATAGTCCACACTGCAGGTCTTACAGATTTGACTTTTCAGGTTGTCATGATGGTTGGTGTTTCTTCATGTTGCTGTTAATTTTATTTGTTGTTTGGTGCTGAGGATTGACCAGAGCCCCACAGAGGCTAAACACATGCTCCACTCTGAGCTGTACCCCATCTCATCAGTTGAAATGTATTGTTTGGCTTTCCCTCTAAGCTGAGACGAGCACAATTTGGTATGACTGGGCGAAGCCTTCGCACACACAGCTTCACTCTGACTATATGCAGCACCTGACTGAGGCCAAGGCCAGGAGTAAGAACAGGGTTCAAGGGGTCCAGCACCTGATACAGCGCCTGCGGCTCATCAAGTCTCCTGCAGAAATTGAGAGAATGGAGATTGCTGGCAAGCTGACTTCACAGGTACAGTTCCTATTGAAAAACTTCCAAATTGCAAAAATCACTCAGAAACCAAATAAAGAAATACAAATCGCAGACATAGGTTGCCATTTCAAGAGATCAAAGTTGGCCCTTCAACTTTATCACTGTAATCACCTTCAGTTTCTTACATAGGGTGTCATTGAACAGCAGCAGGTCCTACTTGTGTTTGCTTCCAGAATTGCAATATAAATTGCCAAATAACAGTCGCCCTAACCTTAGCACTTAGGAGGCTGAGGCAGGAGGTTCACTGTGAGTTTGAGGCCAGTTTGAAATATAGTGAGACCTTGCTCAAAAAAATAAGAATTAGAAAACAAAACCATTCTCTACATACATGACCCGTTTTTTGTCAGTTATTTATGGATCCTTTGTTACACCAGCTTTTTTGTTGTTGTTTTGTTTTTAGGGAAGGGTCTACAGGGTGTTCAGGGTCTCGCTACTAGATTGGACTCACAGTAATCTGCCTGTTTACAGCCTCCCAGGAGTTGAGATTACCAGCATGGGCCACCACCCCCAATCTCAATTGCCGTCTCAGTGTGCCTCAGGGACAAGCTGACACAGCAGGTACAGGGATTGAACCCCCGGCCCCAGCGCCTCCTTGCAGACGCTTTAATGTGCTGAGTTTTTGGCTGGCTCTACACCAGTTTCAAGTCTAATTGGTAATATCACAAGTCAATATTTGCCCAAATATCAGAGTTTTTGTCATGTTTAGTTCCTTTATCATGCTCCAAAACTGCCTACAAGTCAACCCAATTGGCCACCATGTTCTTTTTTTAATTTTAAAAAAAAATTTTTTAGGGACCGGGGAGATGGCTCAGTGGAATAAGCACTTCCCTGGCAAGCATACAGGTCTGAGTTCAATCCCCAGTTCCGGGGGAAAAAAAAAAAAAAAAATTAGTACACGTTTGCAACACATAATGGTTATACTTATTACAGTAACTTGATGCATGTGTACAATACATTGTTTTTCCATATCTTTCTCTTCCCTCCTCTTGAGCAACTTTTTCTTAATTTCTTCCCTAAGGAATATACCTTTTGCTGGACTCTGAACATATACTTTATATACAAAGTTGCCCTCAATTTTGTAGCTAGCTTATATGGACCAGACCAGTTACCTGACATCCTTCAGCAGTTGATTGAAAAGAGGGATGCAGGGGCTACTTGCTAATGAATTATGAGTCTCTCTGATGAACAGGCTCCAGATAGTCAGTGTATTTTTCTTTTTTCTTTTTTCTTTTTTTTTTTTTTTTTTTTTTTTTTTTTTTTTTTTTGGACAGTATCTCATTTTGTAGCCCAGGCTGTCCCTGAACTTGTGATAATCCTCCTGCCACAGCCTCTCAAGTTCTGGAATTAAAAGGTATACATGCCCAGTTATCTCAATAACAACTCAGTAACTATCTTCCAGGAGATGTATGATGGAAAGTAACCTAAAGTAATAACCTTAGCCTTAAAGCCTGTAGCTCATCATTAAGAAGCAGTTACAAGGGCCTGGGGAGATAGCTCA